GCGCTAGCCTTGAGCTGAAGAGCTGAGGGACAGTGCCAGGCCCAGAATTCAGGCCCCACAACCAGCAAAAAAAAAGAAAAAGAAAAAGAAAAAAGAAAAATAGGAGGATAACCTTCCAGGTGCATAATTGGCTGAAGGTGAGATCCTAACTCAAGGGCTGGAAATTTGGCTCAGTGGGCTAGGATGTAGCTCAGTGAAAACGTGCTTTCCTAGTAAGTGCAATGTCTGGGTTTGATCCCCAATTTAACAAAAAAAAAAAGGGTAAAAAGTGTGACTCAGTGATAGTGTGCCTGCCTTTTTGTTTTTGTTGGGCGTGGGGCTTGAATCTGGGCTTGGGAACTGTCCCTGAGCTCTTCAGCTCAAGGTGAGTACTCTACCACTTGAGCCACAGTGCCACTCTGGTTTCCAGGTAGATAAGAGTCTCAATGACTTTCCTGCCAGGGCTGGCTTTGAACTGCAATCCTCAGATCTCAGCCTCCAGAGTATCTAGGATTACAGCCATGAGCCACTGGCTCCTGGCCAAGGCCCTAACTTCTAACCCCAGTACTCCCAAAGTAATGCTGCTATGTGCATGCTAATATTTATGGCCCCATGACTTCAATTTATTATTATTACCATTATTTGAGACAGGGTGGTCTTGAGCTTGAGATCCTCTTGCTTGATTTTTCTGCTCAAGACTGGAGCTCTACCACTTTAGCCACAGTTCTACTTCCAGCCTTTTGCTCATTAATTGGAGATAAGAGACTCTCACCACCTATCTTCCAACTGTGCTCCTCAGAACTCAGCCTCCAGAGTAGCAAGATTAAAGGTGATGGTATCTGGCTTTTTTGTTGTTTTTTGCTTGTTTGTTTGTTTGGTCGGTCGTGGGGCATGAACTCTGGGCTTGGGCACTGTTCCTGCGCTCTTCAGCTCAAGGCGAGCACTCTACGGCTTGAACCACAGAACCACTTCCGATTTTCTAGTGGTTTTTATTGGAGATAAGAGTCTTATGGACTTTCCTGCCTGGGCTGGCTTTGAATTTCAATCCTTAGATCTCAGCCTCCTGAGTAGCTAGGATTACAGGCGTGAGCCACTGGCATCCAGCTTGTTTGTTTGTTGAGGTGGTGGGAGATAAAGCCTAGAGCTTTGATTTTGTTTTGTTTTTGAGTCTGGTTGTGGGGCCTGAACTCTGGGCCTGGGCGCTCTCCCTCAGCTCTTCAGCTCAAGACTAGCGCTCTACCACTTGAGCCCAGTGCCACTTCCGGCTTTTTTCTTTTTTCTTATGTGGTGCTGAGGAATTGAACCCAGGGCCTCAGGCATGCAAGGCAAGTGCTCTACCACCTTCCCAGCCCCGAGCCTAGAGCTTTGGGATATTAAATTTCAGCCTATTAACTTGTATTACAGGGAGAAAATTGTTTTTGTTTATTTTTTGTCAGTGGTGGGGCTTAAACTCTGGCCTGGGTGCTGTTCCTGAGCTCTTCAGCTCAAGGCAAGCACTCTACCACTTATACCACAAGGCCAACCTCCAGTTTTCTGTTAATTGGAGATAAGAGTCTCACAGACTTTCCTGGCCCAGCTTTGAACCTCCATCCTCAGATCTCAGCCTGCTGAGTAGCTAGAATTATAGGTTTGAGCCTCTGGCACCCAGTGGTTTTTGTTTTGTACTGTCAGTCTTGAGACTTGAACTCAAGGCCTGGGAACTGTCCCTGAGTTTCTTTTGCTCAACGCTAGCAGGCTCTCCAACTTGAGCCACAGTGCTATTTCTGGCTTTTTTCTGTGTATGTGGTACGGAGGAATTGAACCCAGGGCTTCATGCATGCTAGGCAAGCACTCTACCACTAAGCCATATTCCCAGCTCGGTTTTTTTTTTTTAACTGTGTTTCTTTTCTCTTTTGGTAGTAGGACTCAAACACAGGTTGTTACACTTGCTAGCAAGCACTTTGCCACTAAGCTACATCTCAACCCAAGAAAAATGTAAACTTAACAATTATTATTTTCCTTTAGGATACTTTTATATCTGAATTTTCCTCCATCCTTGATCAGTGCGATTGAATCAAGGTTGGTGCACTCCTACTTTGCTGGCATTTGAAGCTGCACCCTGGTCATTGCAGAGTGCTGAGCTGCTGCACCCTTATCCTTCATTCACTACATGCTAGTAACTCCTACCCAGTTTCACAACAAAAATGTCTCTAAGCATTGCCAAGTGTGTGGGGTGACAAATTATTCTATGCATGTTTTTTTTTTTTTTGGGTCCGGTCATGGGGCCTGAACTCTGGGCCTGGGCACTGTCCCTCAGCTCTTCAGCTCAAAGCTAGCGCTCTACCACTTGAGCCACAATGCCACTTCCAGCTTTTTTCTTTTTGCCTATGTGGTGCTGAGGAATCAAACCCAGGGCCTTGAGCATGCAAGTGCTCTACCACTGAGCCACCTTCCCAGCCCGCATGTTTTTTGTTGTTGTTGTTGTTTTGTTTGTTGTCAGTCATGGGGCTTGAACGCTGGGTCTGGGTGCTGTCCCTGAGCTCTTCAGCTCAGGGCTAATGATGTACCACTTGAACCACAGCACCACTTCGGGGTTTTTTTTTTGTGGTTACTTGGAGATAAGAGTCTCACAGGGGGCTGGGAAATTGACTCAGTGGTAGAGTGCTTGCATGAGGCCCTGGGTTCAATTCCTCAGCACCACATAAGCAGAAAAGCCAGAAGTGGTGCTGTGGCTCAAGTAGTAGAGCACTAGCCTTGAACTGAAGAGCTGAGGGACAGTGCCCTGGCCCAGAGTTCAAGCTCCACGACTACCAAAAAAGGAAAGAAAGAAAGAAAAAGAAAGAAAGAAAGAAAGAAAGAAAGAAAGAAAGAAAGAAAGGGCTGGGAAGGTGGCTCAGTGGTAGAGTGCTTGCCTTGCATGCATGAGGCCCTGGGTTTGATTCCTCAGCACCACATAAGAAAAAAGAAAAAAGCCGTAAGCGGTGCTGTGGCTCAAGTGGTAGAGCGCTACCCTTGAGCTGAAGAGCTGAGGGACAGCACCCAGGCCCAGAGTTAAGGCCCACTACCGGACCCAAAAAAATAAATAAAAAAAAAAAAGAAAGAAAGAAAAAATTTTTAGCTGGGCGCCAGTGGCTCACACCTGTAATCCTAGCTACTCAGGAGGCTGAGATCTGAGGACTGGGGTTCAAAGCCTGCCTGGGCAAGAAAGCCCGTGAGACTCTTATATCCAATAAACCACTAGAAAACTGGAAGTGGCCCTGTGACTCAAGCGGTAGAGCCTCCCTTGAGCTGAAGAGTCCAAGGGACAGCGCCCACGACCAAACAAACAAAAAGAGTCTCACTTACTTTCCTGCTCGGGCTGGCTTTGAACCGTCATCCTCAGATCTCAGCCTCCTGAGTAGCTAGGATTACAGGTGTGAGCCACAGGTGCCCAGCTCTGCATGTGTTTTAACTAAAAGAAATCACTGGAATTACTCTTAAAATGTGCTCAGGAGTCAAGAGGTTTCTCTCTCCCACTGTACCAATGGAAAAACTGAGACCTGGAGTGGGCCCAGGCTCCAGGCCATGGTCATTCCATTGAGGTGAAGAGCATTACTGCAACTTGGTCTCCTGCAGGTCCCTGGGGCAGACAAATATTCCGTTTCCCTCTTAGATTTGGTGTCCTTATTACACTGCTTATTTCCCAAAGGCGATTCCGCCTCCTAGTTTATTGCAATCACCAGGTGGGCCTCGAACCCAAAACTTGTCTTGTGCTTTGTATGTCCTAGAACGGGCATGAAGAGGAAGTAGGTGCTATGTTGGAGGTGAGCAGAGTCTGGTGGCCACACGCGTAGCCTGCTGGGATTTGTAGTCCTCGCTTTGCCTCTGTCTCGCGCACGCCCCACCCCCTAAGCTAGGCTCCCGTCGTGCCCCGCGGCGATAGGCGGGCCGGTTGCTAGGACTTGGTGAAGCGGAGCGCTCGGGCCGGTGTCCCTCAGGTGAGCAAGCGCCTGGGGACCGGGTTCTCTCAGCGCAGGTTTCCGCAAAAGAGGAACTGGAGTAATGACGGTGGTCTAGACGTTGGCGGAGTGTGGGACTGTCCGGGGGTCATGTTGGGCCCGGCCAGGCTCGCGCACGTCCCGGGTGGGTGGGTGGGCGGGCGGGCAGGCATGCATGTGGGCGGGTGTCCGCGCGTGCGTGCGCAAGCTGGCAGTACTACTGCGTTTGCGCATTAGGCTGCAAGATTCTCCCCCCCCACCCGCCCCAATTTCCTAACTCGTCGCATATTTGCGCATGCACATGATATGCGTTTGGGTCCGGAGACCCCGTACGGCAGGGTAGCTTCCGGGATATCCTGCGTCGGTAGGTGGGGGCCAGTCCCCTATTTCCCGGTTGCTTGTTTACTTAGCTTCTGATCGTGGTGTGTGTTTTCCATCAGCAGTTTTTCTTTCTTTTTTTGCTTTCTTTCTCTCTCCCTCCCTTCCCTCCCTCTTTTTCTCTTTCTCTCTTTTTTGTTTTGTTTTTGTTGGCCGTGGGGCCTGAACTCTGGGCCTGGGCGCTGTCCCTCAGCTCTTCAGCTCAAGGCTAGCGCTCCAGCACTTGAGCCGCAGCACCACTTCCAACTTTTTCTGTTAATGTGGTGCTGAGGAATCGAACCCAGGGCCTCATGCATGCAAGGCAAGGGCTCTACCCCTGAGCCACCTTCCCAGCCCTAGCAGTTTTTCTTTTTCTTTTTTTTAATTTTTTATTGTAAAGATACTCTACAGAGGGTTACAGTTACACAAGTAAGGTAATGAGTACACTTCCTATTGAGCATTGTTACCCTCTCCATTGTTTTCCCCTTACCATCCCTTCCCTCCCCACCTTCCCCGAGGCCCTTTTTTTTTAATTGTGATTAAGTGATTACATAATTTCCCAAATTTCACAGTATTGTGGAATAATGATGCTCATTTAAAGTCACAAGTTTATTCTAACTTTCCTGGAGCAAATTGTCTGTCACAGTCTATAACATATAACGGTGTACACATATACACCATACCTGTGATCAGCAGCATGGGGATATTTAGTAGTGGTTTGACCAGATGAGTGGGAGTTCTTTGTTTCTTAAGTCCCCCAGCAGTTTTTCTTTAGGCATTGGTCCCCCTTTTTTTTTTGGTTGGTCGTGGGCTTGACCTCAGGGCCTGGGCGCTGTCCACAGCTCAAGGCTAGTGCCCTACCACTTGGGACTACAGGTCTACTTCTGGTTTTTTGGTGGTTAATTGGAGATAAGAGTCTCACAGACTTTCCTGCCTGGGCTGGCTTTGAACTGTGACTCCTCAGTAGCTAGGATTATAGGCGTGAACCACCAGCATCTGGATGAAGTTTGAATTTTATTGACACCAAAAGTGGTCTTGCTACAAGGCGAGTGTTCCAATATTTAAGCCAGGCTCCCACCCAGTTTTGCTTTAGTTTTGTTTATCAGCTAGGGTCTTGCATTTTTGTCTGGATGAACCTGAGAATTAAAAACAAAGAACCTTCTACTTCCTCCCACACAGCTGTAATTACAGGCCTAGCCCATCAAATATTTTTAACAAAGAATATTTTGAAGATTGCATGAAATATACTAAAACACACTATTCACTTATGCCAAATTCATAGTAGTTTTATTCGCCTTTTTTTTTCTTCCTGTTGTGGGGCTTGAACTCTGGGCCTGAGCTCTGTCCCTCAGCTCTTCAGCTCAAGGCTAGCGCTCTACCACTTCAGCTATAGCACCACTTCCAGTTTTCTGATGGTTTATTGTAGATAAGAATTTCATGGAAGCCGGGCGCTGGTGGCTCATGCCTGTAATCCTAGCTACTCAGGAGGCTGAGATCTGAGGATCGCGGTTCAAAGCCAGCCCAGGCAGGAGAGACCCTGAGACTCCTATCTCCAATAAACCACCAGAAAACCGGAAGTGGTGCTGTAGCTCAAGTGGTAGAGTGATCGCCTTGAGCTGAAGAGCTGAGGGACAGCGCCCAGGCCCAGAGTTCAAGCCCCACGGCCGACCAAAAATAAATAAATAAATAAGAATTTCGTGGACTTTCCTGTCAAGGCTGGCTTTGAACCGTGTTCCTCAGATCTCAGCCTCCTGAGTAGCTAGGACTATAGGCGTGAGCCACTGGCGCCCGGCTCTAGAGCCATTGGTGCCCAGCTCGACTTTGTTTTATAAGGCGAGTCTACTCACCTGGGAAGCATATATGGGCCCTCCTCCACTCAGCTTGGGAACTGCATTTGAAATAAACATTCCCTTGGGTGAGGTGTCATGAGACTGAACGTTGGCTGATCCTTCTACTCAGGTTCCTTGTCAGTCTTTGCCTGCCTTTCTTGCCTAGGTATAGATGCATTGCCTCTGGTAGCCTTGATGTGGACTTTCCCATGGAGCTATGGGGCTCTTTTGTGGAGTTATTTGAGTGTAGCTCAGAACAATGCCTAGATTAGTATGTATTCTGTCCCTTTCTGCTTATGCTTCCAAGCCTGACTGGTCAGATTGCCACGAGGTTGGAAGCAAGGCTAGAGAGGATCAACTGGTGCCTAACATGTCCCAGCTAGGGACTGTAGAGCTGGATGGAACCTCCAGTGTCCTATATGCTTTCTGACTGGGCACATGTAGGGCCAAAGCTCTGACTGTTTTGGATTCCTCATCAGTGGGTAAGAGGAGGCCGCCTAGCGTAGCACTCACCAGAAATTTCACCATGCATGTTCACCCACCCTGAACAAATGCCAAAGCCATATTAGGTTTAAAATGTGAATCCAGGGACTGGGAGGGTGGCTCAGTGGTAGAGTGCTTGCCTTGCATGCATGAGACCCTGGGTTCTATTCCTCAGCACCACATAAGCAGAAAAAGCTGGAAGTGGCACTGTGGCTCAAGTGGTAGAACGCTGACCTTGAGCTGAAGAGCTGAGGGACAGTGCCCAAGCCTAGAGTCAAAAAAAAAAAATGTGGATCCATTTCTGCAGGACCCCAGGCCTATAGTCCATTGTTCCTCTGGGATCTGATTAAGGGAAAGTTCCTAGCCTCTTGTCCAGCTTAGACCGTTTGGACCTGCAACAGGTAGAGGAGTTACTGTTGAGCCCACTTATCCTGGACAGCCATCGCAACAGTAAACCCAGAAGGAGCTTTCTTCCCTGTGGCTCTCCATGACTTTAGTTACTCTCCTCCCAACCCCCAGAAGTTAGAAGCCCAGGTGTCTGGTTCTGATGGCATCCTTCTTTCTTTCTCTCATTTTGTTCTGTTTTTTTTTTCATCAGTCAGAAATTGTAGTCTTGGGGACAAATGAGACTATGTTTGGCTTTTACCCTGTACACAGTGGAGCTTTTGTGGCCTAGGCAGGCCATGCAAGCCAAAAGAATTGATGTGTGGTTCAGCGAATCCAGAGGGCACCATGACCTTCTTATGGGCCCTGCCTGCCATGGGGCCTCAGGCAGCTGCAGCTGTGGTGGCACCAGGCCCTTCAGGCATGCTAGACACCACCCACACTTCCCAGTCTCACTGTTCCCCACTGCACATATGTGTTTGCCTGATCACCAATAAGTAGGGTAAGCTGTCTGTGGCAAGCCTCCCTGTGCTCGCCCAGTAGGATAGGCTGATGTCTGAATCTGTCACTGAGGGATGCCTGGCAGCCAAAGTGGAGTGCAGCCTATGATTGTAAAATGATTAACACACCCTTGCCTCCAGGGAAGGACCAGGGTTGGTCACTCCAAGATACTGCTGTGTTTGAGACCAACCAGAACAACTCTTATACTGTAGTTGAGATATTCTTTGGTTCTTTAGCTATTTTTCCATGCTGAGCAATCAAACTGAGGGCCTAATATAGTACACTTTTAGAAGCTACATTTTTTAAAAAGTATAGCAAGAAGGGTTGAAATTCATCTTTATAATACACCTTAGTTAACTTAAAACATGTTACACATACACACATACACACACACACATACTCCCCCCCCACACCTTCGCTTGTGGGGCTTGAACTCTGGGCCTGAGTGCTGTCCCTGAGCTCTTCAGCTCAAGGTGGGGGCTCTACCACTTGAGCCACAGTGCCACTTTCAGTTTTTCTGGTGATTAATTGGAGATAAGAGTCTCATGGACTTTCCTGTCAAGGCTGGCTTTGAACCTCGATCCTCAGATCTCAGCTTCCTAAGTAACTAGGATTACAGGTGTAAGCCACTGGTGCCCAGTAATCTATCTATCTATCTTTCTTTCTTTCTCTCTGTCTTTCTTTCTCTCTCTCTTTCTTTTTTTTTGTCAGTTTTGGGGCTGAACTCTGGGCCTGGGCGCTGTCTCTCAGTTCTTCAGCTCAAGGCTAGTGCTCTACCACTTGAGCCACAGTGCCACTTCCGGCTTTTTTCTGCTTATGTGATGCTGAGGTACTGAACCCAGGGCCTCGTACATGTGAAGTTAAGCACTCTACTTCTGAGCCAACTTCCCGGTCCCCCTCCCTTTTTTGGGGTGGGGGAGTCCGGTGGTGGAGCCTGAACCTGGGCCTGGGTGCTGTCCCTTAGCACTCTACTACTTGAGCCACAGCACCTCTTCTGGCTTTTTTTTTTTTTTCTGCTTATGTGGTGTTGAGGAATCGGAACCCAGGGCCTCAAGCATGCAAAGCGAGCACTCTACGACTGAGCCACCTTACCAGTCCTTTTTTTTTTGTCTCTCCTTTTTTTGTGAGACTTGGGATGGCCTTAGGGCTTGCATATGCTGTCAGCACACTATCACAAAGGTATACCCATTGCCCTCATTTTAATATGTAACTTTTTGTGTTTTTTTGTTTTGCCAGTCCTGGGGCTTGAACTTAGGGCCTGAGCACTGTCCCTGAGCTTCTTTTGCTCAAGGCTAGCATTCCATCACTTCTGGCTTTTCGTGTTTATGTGGTGCTGAGGAGTCCAACCGAGGACTTCATGCACGCTAGAGGCAAGCATTCTACCACTAAGCCACATTCCTAACTTTATAGTTTTTTGTTTTTGTTTTTATTTTTTTAATTCACAGAAAGCTAGACACTAAGCCAGGTGCTGGTGGCTCAGGCCTGTAATCCTACTCAGGAGGCTGAGATCTGAGGATCACCATTCAAAGCCAGCCTGGACAGAAAAGGCCGTGAAACTTACCTGAAATAAACCACCAGAAAACTGATGCTGTGGCTCAAGTGGTAGAGTGCTAGCCTTTAGCTGAAGAGCTGAGGGGACCGCATTCAGGACCAGAGTTCAAGCCCCATGACTGACAAAAAGAAAAAGCAAGTCAGGCACTAATGGTTCACTGCTGTAATTGTAGCTATTCAGGGGGCTAAGATCTGAGGATCAGGGTTTGAAGTCACCCAGGGCAAGAAAGTGTGTGAGACTTTTCTTTTTTGCTTATGTGGTGCTGAGGAATCCAACCCAGGGCCTCATGCATTCAAGGCAAGCACTCTACCACTGAGCCACCTTCTCAGCCCATGTGTGAAACTCTTTTTTTTTTTGTCGGCCGTGGGTCTTGAACTCTGGGCCTGGGCACTGTCCCTCAGCTCTTCAGCTCAAGGTGAGCACTCTACCACTTGAGCTACAGCGCCACTTCCGGTTTTCTGATGGTTTATTGGAGATAGGAGTCTCACGGTCTCTCCTGCCTGGGCTGGCTTTGAACCACGATCTTCAGATCTCAGCCTCCTGAGTAGCTAAGATTACAGGCGTGAACCACCAGCACCCGGCCCCATGTGTGAAACGCTTATCTCCAATGAAACACCAAAGTAAGTTGGAAGTGGAGCTGTGGCTCAAGAGGTAGAGCGTTAGACTTGAGCAAAAAAGCTCAGGACAGTGCCCAGGCTTTGAGTTCAAACCCCAGGACTGGGGGGCATGTGCGCACGCACATACACACACACACACACACACACACACACACAATCACAGGACTGTTTATGTTCTGTTTTTCTATTTGTTGGTCGTGGGGCCTGAACTCTGGGCCTGGGCTTTGTCCCTCAGCTCTTTAGTTCAAGGCTAGGCTCTACCACTTGAGCCACAGAGCCACTTCCATTTTTTTTCATGTGGTTCTGAGGAATGGAACCTAGGGCCTCATGCATGCAAGGCAAGCACTCTACCACTGAGCCACCTTCCCAGCCCCAGGATTGTGTATGTTCTTTTGTGTGTGTGTGTGTTGAGGGGCTTAAACTCACCATCTGGGTGCTCAAGGCTAGCCACAACACCACTTCCATTTTCTTCTTTCTCTTTCTCTTCTCTTTCTTTCTTTTTCTTTCTTTCTTTCGTTTTCTTCCTTCCCTCCCCTCCTCTCCCCTCCCCTCCTCTCCCTTCTCTTCTCTTCTCTTCTCTTTTTTCCTGGAGATAAGAGTCTCAGACTCAGGGCTGGGAAGTTGGCTAGGTGGTAGAGCGCTTGCCTTGCATGCCTGAGGCCCTGGGTTCGATTCCTCAGCACCACATAAGCAAAAAGAAAAAAAAGCCACAAGTGGCGCTGTGGCTCAAGTGGTAGAGCGCTAGCCTTGAGCTGAAGAGCTGAGGGACAGCGCTCAGGCCCAGAGTTCAGGACCCACTACCGGACCCAAAAAAAAAAAAAAGAGTCTCAGACTGCTGCCCAGTCTGTTCAAACTGAGATCCTCAGATCTCAGCCTCCTAAGTAGCTAGGATAATAGGCGTGTGCCACAGGTGCCCAGCTTAACATTTGAAGTCTCTGAAACTGAGTGTTTAGTCACTGCCCAGGAGAGGAAGTGTTGATAAGGTTTTGGAAGGGAAGTTTCTTCTCATGATTTTGTAATATGTGCAGTTCTAACTGCTCGCTCTGGGGCCATTTTGATACCTTAGCCTCTGTCTGGAGGGTCTCTGTCCAAGTGTTATCCTGATCCTGGGCCTAGGACATTGGAAATGTTTCAATTTCTAGCTCCTGGGCTGTGATTTGGGATTGTATTTTCATTTTACTTTATTTTTTTGAGACTAAGAACCTGCCCAGACTGGGTTGAACCCCTGAGCTCAAATGATTCTCCTGCCTCAGCCTCCAGACCTAATGGGCTCCTTGTTGTGGGAAGTCAGCTGGGAGCAGATGTGGACCTGGAAGGTGTTGGGGATAGAGAAGCATGGCTGTGAGCAGGTATCTTCAGGATGACCAGTGGATCAGTGCCCCAGGCCAGGGATTGGGAAGCTAGAGGCACTTCATTGTTGCCCAAGTGAAAATTCTCCCAACGGGGCTGCCTGTTCTCTACAAGCCTGAATCCCCGTTACCTCCCTCTCACACCCTAGCTGCCTATAAGCCTGGAAGCAGAAGAGGGCCTCAGGTTCTCAGGGATAAGAATGAGGGGCACCTGGCCAGCACTGCTCCTCTCTTTACTCATCTCTACTTTGAGGATGATGGTGGCAGCGATGATGTCAGGTCCAGCTTTGCAAGGCAGGGCCAGGAGCCTTGGCAGAAGGGGCAGGTGGAGTGGATAGGCAGGTCTCCAGGTTGGCCCAGCCCACAGCAGCCATGCCCTCCAGGGCCTCTAGGGTGGGGCAGAAGGTAGGAGAGTCTTGGGGGTCAGGTGCACCTGACCACCATAGTGCAGGGATAAGGGGAAGGATAGGAAGCATGGGCTTCCTGTAGGAGAAGGGACTGCATTTAGGGGTGGGGAGGCAATGTTTTCTTGCCTTTCTTCTGTCTAGCCTTTTGTAGTTCTGGCTGGTGAGTCTCTTATAGAAACTGTGTGGAAAAGGGCATTTATTTTGGGTCATGAGCAGACACTGCATTATTCTGGGACGTAGCCCCATATCCAAACCTGGTGTGTTCATTTTCTGTCATTATGTAACTCCTGAAAATTTAGTAGCTTAAGTGATGTCTGTCCATTAGCCTGTGGACACAGTATGACTGAATCCACTCATGGAGGTCTTACCTATTGGAGGCCAAGGCTTGGCAGGGGCTGCTTTTTCATATAGGCTCAACTAGTGGGGGTCTACTCACAACACTGTTAGCAAATTTCAGATTCAGTTCCTCCTGCTATAGGACCAAAGGCTCTGAAGCTGGCCTCAGCCTGTCAGCAGCTCATCTGGCTTCTGGAGATACAGGTGGCAGATTAGGGGCTGCCTAGCACTGGTGTGTGTGCAGAGTGGTGCCTGTTTGGAATTCCATAGTATGATAGTTGTGGATCTCTATACATCTACTGAATACTTCCTTAAAAGTGATGCTGTTATGTTGCATGCTTAGAGTCCCAGTGGAAACACTAAGACCAGGAAGATGGCAAGTTCCAGGTCAGTTTAGACTAAAAAACAAGAACCTGTCTCAAAAAACAAAGATATGTTCCTGATAGCACATGAATTTCATTTTTTTTGTTTTGTTTTTTGTTTTTTAAAGAGCTAAATGGATGTTTAGACTCCTCACACCAAGAGTTAGTAGGATATGAGCAAGATTGTGACTGGTGATGTGCAGACCCTGGGCTGGAGCTCTCTGAATGAGCCTCCAAATTCAGCATGCTCAGCCTCATAGAGCCTCCAGGAACTGACTCCTCTAGCTCACCCAGGCCTACCAAAGCTCATGGACAGTGCTCTACTCCAATCTCTGTTTCCACAGTCAGAGCCTTATTGAGGATGGAACCTGCCCTGGGCCTCACAGAACTGCATGGCCATGAGAAGACTGACAACCTGGAGCCAGAGCCAGTGCCCTGGCAAGCCCTCCCAGTCCTGTCTGAGCAGCAGTCCAGGGATGTGGAGCTGGTGCTGGCCTATGCTGCACCTGTTCTTGACAAACGCCAGACCTCACGCCTCCTCAAGGAGATATCAGCTGTCTACCCACTACCAGCACAGCCGCACCTCAAGCGGGTGCGGCCCAGCCGGGATGCCAGTGGCTCCCATGCCCTGGAGATGTTGCTGTGCCTGGCAGGGCCAGCTGCGGGCACATGCTCACTGGCCGAGCTCCTCCCCAAGCCGGCTGTGGACCCTCGGGGCCTGGGGCCACCCTTCCTGGTACCTGTGCCTGCCCGGCCACCCTTGACTAGGGAACAATTTGAGGAAGCTAGGAGCCACTGGCCCACATCCTTCCATGAGGACAAGCAAGTGACCAGTGCCCTGGCTGGACAGCTCTTCTCAGCACAGGAGCGGGCTGCAATGCAGAGGCACATGGAGCAGGCCATACGGGCAGCGCAGCAGGCATTGGCTCGGGGCCTGCAAGCTGTGGGTGCTGTTGTGGTGGACCCAGCCACAGGCAGAGTACTAGCCACAGGCCACGACTGTAGCCAGGTGGCCAGCCCCCTGCTGCATGCTGTCATGGTGTGCATCGATCTCGTGGCCCAGGGCCAGGGCCGTGGCACCTATGACTTCAAGCCCTACCCAGCCTGCTCCTTCACTCCTGCAACTGCCACTCTTAAGGGCCCCCAAGCAGGCCGTGTACGCAAGCTGGATGAGGACAAGGAAGAGGATGGCCTTCCCTATGTGTGCACTGGCTATGATCTCTATGTCACCCGGGAGCCCTGCGCCATGTGTGCCATGGCCCTCGTGCATTCCCGCATCCAGCGGGTCTTTTATGGGGCACCTTCACCTGACGGTGCCTTGGGCACTCGCTTCCGCATCCATGCCCAACCCGACCTCAACCACCGCTTCCAGGTATTCCGAGGTGTCCTTGAAGATCAATGCAGCAGGCTGGACCCTGACACATAGGCTTAGTGCCCATCCGCTTCCACAACTTGCTCTACTGCTGGCCAGTCTCAGCATCTGAGATTCCAGAGGCTTCATCCTATCTCCATTAGAAATGCCACCACACTTCTAGCTCTGGGACTGAGTTCTGTTCTCTATTTCAGTCTCTGTGGTCCTTCATGACTGTGCCAGGAAACAGCAATGGCATATGAAAATAAACTACCCCCAAACCAAGCTTCTGTCTGGATAGAGGTGCCTGTCACAGTAGCTGGGGTATTGGGGCTGGAACAGGAAGGAAACCCCGAGCAGATTGTGATCAGGGATATAGTGTATGTCCTGAGGCAGAGGAGGCCCAGGTGGCACTCTGTGTTCCTTGAGGCTGGAAGGTTCTATGTGTGTTTGGATACAGGTCAGTCTGGGGACATCTTACCAAAAGGCTTCTTTGGGCCATTCCATTCACTGTCTTTCATAAGTTGTAAAATGAGGACTTCAAAAGGGGCCAGCACAAGTTCATAGGATAGAGGGCTGGAACTGCTGTTTGTGCTGGACTCAGAGGAGGTGCCTGATGCCTCGCTACTTGGTGCTGCTGGAGCCCCTAAATTATTGCCCTGAAGGAATCCCTGGCCTCATGGGACCCCACAGTGGCCAGGACACTGGGACTGACTGAGCCTGCCCCATCTCCAGGAAGGGTGGGCTATGCTGGTGCTGGATGGAGGTCTGTGGTACTAGAGTGGAGGTGGCTGTCTTCCACACAGGTTCTTCCTGTATTAGGCAGGGTTAGGATCTCTCCTTAAGGATGTGCTTACTGTACTGGGCAAGCAACTGAAAAAAGGTGCCTGATAGGAAGTGGCTGAGAGGCCAAGAAGTAGAGTATCCCATGGTGAGACCCTGAGGTTCTTAAGGCTAGTGGCTTTGAGCAAGATGGTCTGGACAAAGTTGATATTCTTTTCCTTTCTTTTTTTCTTCTCTTTTTTTTTTGTCGGTCATGGGGCTTGAACTCTGGGCTTGGGTGCTGTCCTTGCGTTCTTCAGCTCAAGGTGAGTGCTCTACTGCTTGAGCCACAGTGCTACTTCCGGTTTTCTAGTGGTTTTTATTGGAGATAAGAGTCTCATGGACTTTCCTGCCTGGGCTGTCTTTGAACTGTGATCCTCAGAACTCAGCCTCCTGAGTAGCTAGGATTACAGGTGTGAGCCACCGGCGCCCAGCTGAAAGTTGATATCTTTTTTTTTTGGTCCGGTAGTGAGGCCTGAACTCTAGGTCTGGATGCTGTCCCTCAGCTCTTCATCTCAAAGCTAGCGCTCTACCACTTGAGCCACAGCGCCACTTCTGACTTTTTTTCTTTTTGCGTATGTAGTGCTAAGGAATCGAACCCAGGGCCTCATGCATGCAAGGGAAGGGCTCTACCACTGAGCCACCTTCCCAGCCCCGAAAGTTGGTATTCTTTTTTTTTTTTTGGGGGTCCAGTCTTGGGGCCTGAACTCTGGGCCTGGGCGCTGTCCCTCAGCTCTTCAGCTCAAGGCTAGCGCTCTACCACTTGAGCCACAGTGCCACTTCCGGC